TGTTTTTTTTTTTTAGTTTTTTACAGTAAACTCATCAACTACAAACCTTGAATACGCAAAAGATGTTCCAAGGACAAGCATAACAAGGATTGATAAAACCAGACTAAATATGTTTTCACAATAAAAGCTGGCATAAAAATAAATAAAAATCTCTATTATCACAATAGCAACAATAATGTACACAGAGTAATGGATTTGGAATGCTTACTTACTAGTCTAGTTCTATTTCCAAAAGGAAAAAAAAAGCCAGAATGACAGCATCCTTTTTTAAGCCTTTCGTTATTTAAAATTGATGTTTTGTTTTGGTTTCCCATAGGGCTGTATATCACAGTAAGCTTAAAAATGGAAAGCATCCAAATGAATGATTTCAAATTGTGTTGGCATTGGAAAAATCCTTGTATTAATCTAAAGAAACACAAAAAGACTTTCACTAACTCCACATATAGGAACTAAGTCAGATAGTGTACATTACATCATGGTTTGGAGAAGTATTAAGAGTATAACTAGCTAGGTACTTCTAATAAGGAAAGGTATTTTATTACATTATTGAACTTGGTGGTGATCTCAACTGAAGAAGAATTTTCTTTTATGTTGTAAACTGATCAAAAATCAAGGGAGTATGGATATAGGAAAATTTAAAATTATGTTTGTATGTGGAAGATACTGTAGCATTCTATGGAGGGGACTCATTTCTAAGATTTAGTTGTGTTTAAAAATGCTGATTTAGAATGATATAATTTTGAGTTACGCCTTTTCTGTCTAGAAAAGGAATCTAAAACATGTTCAAGTATGCGATATCTTCATAAACCTCAGCCACTGGTAAAGGGCAACTTCATGCAACCAAATAATATGAAAATCAAAAAGTAACCCTTAGAAAAAAGGGTAAAAATGTCATTTCTGCAAACACAACAGATAGGAATGTGAATAATGTGCATACAAACTGGGATGCTGTTGATGGTACTAATGAACAGATGTGGTGACTCATATCAAATCCAAGAATATTAGACAACCAAACATGGAACCTTCTTGTGTTTTCCCTTAATATTCAGCAGTCATTATGTTGGTTAAGTCTGAAAGAGAAAGAGAAGAAAGTCACATTTAATGTAAGAAGTAACAAGCTGYATCAAACTTGATACAGTTGATGCCATATTTCCACACTTCAAAGCCACATGTTCCAGTAACCTCCTGGTCCATTCAAACAAATGCTTTTCTAGAGAAAACTGCTTTGTTACATCAACTAAACATAGCACTGYGAAGTATTAAAGAGCACAGTTTAGAAGTGAACATTTAGGCTGTACTCAGTAAGCTGTTCAGTGACATTTCTGGGTGRGTATCACTCCTGATCACTCCATTACAAATCTTGTAGCACACCCCAGGCACAACCAAATTTTKCTTTTTTTTCCATTACACCCAATCCCTGATGGGCTTCATGCAGCACTCTGGATSTCCAGCACAAGAATGCCCTCTGTTCAAATACACAAACGCTCAGCAAGGGTGAGCAAACAGAAGTATTGCCATTGCCAAGGGATCCAAATGCTGCCTCTGAAAAGGAAATAGTGTGGCTGCAGTTCCCTGTAGGGTCATGACAGAAAAGGAAGGAACTCCCACTTCCACGGCTGAGTCAAGGTCAGCTCCTGCTTTCCCTGACATCAGTGGGATCAGGATCAGACTGTCCTCGTGTGATCACGGCGTGATCTACAAGGTTTCCTGGAATGGAACAGAGATGGCAAAATCCCCTGAGGCCCCGGGACACGTTATGCTAGCCAGAGCACAACGGCACACAGGGCACCATGGCCAAGGCATCCTTCCCTGGCTTTGGTCAGTGCTGCCCTTCTCTGCTGTGACAGGAGCAGTAATGGCAACCTGTGCTTTGTGTGTGGGACTCCTGGCACATCCTGACCCAGGACACACCATCAGGGGGATTATCAAGGGCTGGGCATGCAGTGATGGTTTACAGCAACTGCCTGAGCCCTGACTGCCCCAAAGGTGTAACCATGTGCTGCTCAGCCAGCACACCACACTCCTGTTTCACAGGCAATGAGATGATTCCCTTCTGGGCTGTATCCAGAACACTGGGTAGGCATTATTCTTATGTGGGGCTCTGGCAATATCAATACACCCTCCACACTGTCTCACAGATGCAGCTGTGGGGCCACTGTGTGGCACACAAAGGACAACAGAGACACAGATCATGCAAACCATCCTCTAGGGCTGCAGAGCTTCCAGTGCCCTCTTCCAGCATGGCACACATTCTGCCTGCTGGGTGCACTCCCAGGTGCCCCACAAGTGAGCAGGGGGCTCCTGGCCCTGCTGGACCTGTGGCCCTGTGTGGCTCCTGGTCCTGCCTGGCTTGTGGCCCTGTGTGGCTCGTGGCCCTGCCTGGCTCGTGGCCCTGCATGGCTCATGGCCCTGTGTGGCTCGTGGCCCTGCGTGGCTCATGGTGGCCCTGCCTGGCTCGTGGCCCTGCATGGCTCATGGCCCTGTGTGGCTCGTGGCCCTGTGTGGCTCGTGGCCCTGCCAGGCTCATGGCCCTGCGTGGCTCATGGTGGTCCTGTGTGGCTCATGGTGGCCCTGTGTGGCTCCTGGCCCTGCCTGGCTCGTGGCCCTGTGTGGCTCCTGGCCCTGTGTGGCTCGTGGCCCTGCCCAGCTCCTGGCCCTGCCCAGCTCTCCCCGCCGCAGCCGCTGCGCAGGGATGCGGCAGAGCTGAGCACATTCCGTGGTCTCCATGGTTTCACGTCTCTTCAGGAACAGATCAGCTCTCATCATCTTTGTTTGAACAAGGCTCTCAGCTCCACTGTAAGCTGTGGTACAACATGTGCTGTGCTGCCCAACGCTACTGCACACAAAGGAGAGATCACAGGATCTGACTGATTTGAGTGAAAAGTTTCTGTCATCAGTGATAGCACAGCGTAAACAGAGCAGGGAACAAAACTAAATCCACAAACTGCCATCTTTTCTTTCTGGCACTGAGAATTTCTTCCTTAACAGTGTCTGGCAATTAATTCAGCCATCCTGTACTTTAAAACCATGTGTGCAGAAGGATAATTATATACTTGTTCTGTGCAATAGTCATTATTCCATGTTGKTTTGAGGTCAAAATGTACACAGATGTACACAGAGCTACAAATATTTCATCTATACCAGCTGCTTTAATCTCAGCTTGCATTCAGATATTTATTTTTCCTGAGTTATGTCCCATGTCCTTAGCCAGCAGTGCTGTTATCCTGAGCTACTGGAAGGCAGCAGACAACACAACTCTTTACAGCAGATACTATGCCACTATTTGATTTTTGCACACAAAATTTTACTGTGCAATAGTCAGACACATTGCTACAAACGATATCTTTTTGTTTGAAGGGTAGATTTTAACTGGCTTCAAATTGCGGAAAAAAAAACCAGACAGAAAACCAGTCTATTTTCATTTTCTGTAAAAAATGCTTTTAGATTGAACCAAGCCCTAAAAGCTTTCAATGCTGATAACGCCCAAACATGGTATGCAGCCCGACCAACGCTGTTCTTGATAAGTAAAGAAGAGCAAAGGAACCAAACATCTCTAAACCACATCAGAAGGACACAATGAAGCTGTGATTGTCTGGCCAGTTTGACCATTACACTTGTACTTTGCAGCAGTAAGTGGGATTGTTGCTACCCCATAAGAACATCACAGCAGAACTGGACACAGGCTGTTTTAAATCTGCTCTCCCAAATGCAATGGTGTCACACAGGCTGTTTTAAATCTGCTCTCCCAAATGCAATGGTGTCAGATGG